TGCTCAAACTAACAGAGTGCTAAAAAAAACCGGCGCACAGAAATTAAGCAGGCGATCGAAATTCGAGTGTGAACAATGCGCCGCATTGCTTAGAGCATTGTGCACACCCGCACAAACACGAGATGAGCCAAGGCCGGAGATAAGCCGCCATCAGACAGCAGTTCGTGTGTGTGTTCGCTGTCATTTATCTTCTCACGGTCGCGCGCTCACGATTCTTTTCGGCGCTGATCGCTGATTGGTCCAATCAATAACTGCCGACAACGATGTTCTCTGCTCTCTGAGCGCAGCTTTGATGCAGCTGCGCAACTTTTGTCTGAGTCAGTGTGGCCCTATTAGTCAATAGGGCATGATGTTGTGCTGCGCGGGATAGTCTATTAAGCCTGTAATTAATTTATTATACCTCTTTGTGGATCTGATGCGTAAGCAGGTAAGGCTATTATTTGGAGATACTCTCTGCATACATAACATATGTTTAGGTAAGTGTTTTTGCAATTGATACATATCTCCATATGCTTGTGTATAAAATGGAATCAAAATCTGAATAAGTGCTTATTTCATAGCAATTTTCTCCCACGAGCGCAATGAATAGGAAGATAATGCACAGGCAATCAGACGGTATACACACACATATGTATGTACATAAATTTGGCGATTCTCTCTGCATACATATGTATGTATGCGTGTGTGCTCTCGGAATTCATGTCTACTTATGCTTGTGTATGATTGCTTACGCGTTATCTACCTTTGATCTGCGCTCAATCGAGTTGCTGTGCGGCGATTAGCAATTAAATGCGCAATTCGACACATAAATATTTAAACATTTATGCATTGTTTTTAAATGTTATCATAGAATTATGTGTGCAAAACAAAAAGGAAACATTTTAACACATTTTATTTCTAACTTTTAGCATAAATTTTAGTGTATAAAAACAAACACAAACACAAAAGATGATTGAACAACAACAAAAAGAAAACACATTTAAGAACATCAACCATACTTATAAATAATTGAAGAAATTATTATTATTACTATGCAAAAACCCAAATAAATATGATAAAAATAGAAAACCAAAAACAAAACAACATTGCTTAACATTCGAGCTAACAGCTGTAACTGCTCGTTAACAGCTGGCTTTTACAGTGTAATTATGCTCAAACTAACAGAGTGCTAAAAAAAACCGGCGCACAGAAATTAAGCAGGCGATCGAAATTCGAGTGTGAACAATGCGCCGCATTGCTTAGAGCATTGTGCACACCCGCACAAACACGAGATGAGCCAAGGCCGGAGATAAGCCGCCATCAGCCAGCAGTTCGTGTGTGTGTTCGCTGTCATTTATCTTCTCACGGTCGCGCGCTCACGATTCTTTTCGGCGCTGATCGCTGATTGGTCCAATCAATAACTGCCGACAACGATGTCCTCTGCTCTCTGAGCGCAGCTTTGATGCAGCTGCGCAACTTTTGTCTGAGTCAGTGTGGCCCTATTAGTCAATAGGGCATGTTGATGTGCTGCGCGGGGTAGTCTATTAAGCCTGTAATTAATTTATTATACTTTTTTCTGGATCTGATGCGTAAGCAGCTAAGGCTATTAGTTGGCAAAGTTCTCTCTGCATACATAACATACGTTTGAGTAAGTGTTTTCGCAAGTGATATCCACTTAATCTTGTGTATAAAATGAAATCAAAATTTGAACAAGTGCTTATTTTATTGCAATTGTCTCCCCATTAACGAATTAAAAGATAATGCACAAGCAATCACACGGTATACACACACATATGTATGCATGTACATTTATTTGGCCATTCTCACTGCATACATATGTTTGTGTGCGTGTGCTTTCGCAATTCACATCTACATACATGCATACTTATTATCTACCCTTGATCTGCGTTCACTCGAGCTACATGATTTTGCATTAGTTAAACGAAAGCAGTCGGACAAAGATGTTTATGAAGAAATAATTAGTGAAAATTGTCTTACGGGTCGGAAATATAAATAACCATAGAAAAATCGCTTGCAAAGTTTGACAAAAATCGAATCAAATTAAAACAATTCTATCAATTTTAATAAAGTGTTTATTTTATAATAACTTCCTCTCACGTTCGCAAAAAAAAAGTCGTGAGAGCGCGACAAAGAAGAAGACAATGCACAAGCAATCACATACACATTGTATGCACATATCTAGCGATTCTTTCTGCATGCATATGTATGTTTGTGTGTGTGTGTGTTCTCGCAATTGATATATCTATATGTATGTATGTAGTTGTGCTTGCGTATGATTTTCTTATGCGTTATCTAGCTTTGATCTGCGCACAATCGAGTTGCTGTGCTTCGACTTTTGTTCACTTTGCGTCCGCGCAACGTGCTTTGTGTTAGTTAAAATATAAACTAAATTATAAGTGAAAATTGTCATGTAAATTCAGTCCATAACTCTAATTGTATACGTTTTCGGTCTAGTACGGGTCGGAAGTATTAATAGCCATAAAAATTATCTTTTCTAAAGTTTGACAAATGTGAAATTAAAATATGAACAGGTCCATCGATTTTATAGACTCGCAAATGTTTAAGTGTTTATTTTACGATAATTTTCTGCTCAGTTCGTAACAAATTCGTGAGAGCGCAATGAATAAATTTACAACGCACAAATCATACGATATACACACACATATCCATATATGTATGTACATATATTTGACGATTCTCTCTGCATGCATATGTTTGTGTGTGTGTGCTTTCGCAATTCACACTTGCATACATACATACTTATTATCTACCCTTGATCTGCGTTCTCTCGAGCGAGATGATTTTGCATTAGTTAAACGGCAGCAGTCGACCAAAGACGTTTAATAAGAAATAATTAGTGAAAATTGTGAAGTAAATGCCATATTTTACGGGTCGGAAGTAATAATTAATAAATCGTATTCTAAAGTTTGACAAAAAAGGAGTGAACTGTTTGAAAAAACTCCTCAATTTTATTTAAGTGTTTTTTTTTATAATTTTCTAATAATGCACAAGCAATCATACGGTGTACACATACATATGGATGTATGCATGTACATGTTTAGAAATTCTCTCTGCATACATATGTATGTTTGTGTGTGTGTGTTTTCGCACTTGATACCTGCGTATGCTTGTGTATGATTCCTTACGCGTTATCTAGCTTTGATCTGCGCTCAATCGAGTTGCTGTGCGTCGACTTTTGTGCACTTTTTTTTTAGTTAAAAGGCAACAGTCGAGTGAATCTGTTTAAACAAAAATTATAAGTGAAAATTGTCTAGTAAATGTTATCCGTATCTCTAATGTTATACTTTTTCGGACTTGTGCGGCTCGGAAGTATTAATAGACATCGATTTAATAGACTCACGAATGTTAAATGGTTTCTTTTATTGTAATATTATCTTCACCTCGCTCGGAAATTCGTGAGAGCGCGATGGGAAGATAATGCACAAGCAATCATACGATGCTCACACATATGTATGTACATATATTTGGCGATTCTCTCTCTCTCTCTCTCTGCATAGATAACATATGTTTGTGTGTGTATGTGTGTTTTCGCACTTGATACCTGCGTATGCTTGCTCCAGTTTTGTGGGTTTCTTGCTCTGTTTGCTGTGCGCCGACCAGCTTGGCCAGCACTTGAGTGAAACTCTTTGAGTAATGTAAGGTAAACTGCTCGGACTAATATCGTCCATGTCGGGAATGTCAATTGACATGTAAAACAAAGCGACTTCTGAGCTTTGACTAAATAAAGATCTGATCAAAGTGCTTGCTAAATTCTTCTTGAAGACTTTCACGAACCCCAAAAGGTATATTCTTCTGAAGTCCAATATTTAAAGTTTACAAAATACTAATTCATTTGTTTTCTTTTTTTACTTCTGCTGCCTGACTGAGCTTGGATATATGCTCATGCCATGGATATATGTTAGCTTATACAAAATCGTATTTAGATTTTGTTGCTGCCAATCTGCGTCGATTCTTAAATCAACGTTTTGTAGAATTCTGCCGATCTTTAAGGTATGTCGGACGTTATTAAGCCCATGTATTTAAGTTTACAAAAACTAATATATTTTTCATTTTATATTTTTCAGCCTAATCCTGCCAACGTTCATTGACAATGTATAATCAACAAATATTTATTTCGATTTTGAATCGGCGGAATTATGTCCCTTTAAAATTATAAACACAGTATTTCCCGCGCTCCCGGAAACTCAGCCAACTCTGTCACGCCCATGGACAAGATTTCATCAGCAAGTGATCGCTATATATGGTACCTAGTTGACCGATATATCCTTGGCTAATCCATGTCATAGATATAGTCCTAGCGAACCTAAAGGACACAGTTCTTGCAAAATGTGTATGCTTTTCTTTTACAGCCGCCCCGAGTAATAGTTCCTGGATCCTGGATGGTTTCTAGTTGACTAGCATATCCTTGGTTATACCATACCATTGATATAGTCCTTGGGAACCTAAAGGATCAGATCCCTGGAAAATGTGCATGGGAATGGTCCAAAAATATGTATGCTTTTTCTTTCAGGAGCCCTTTTATATGCCCTGCAGCTGCAGCTGTTGCTTAACAGCCGGCTTACAGTGCTCATTTAACATGCACTGCTAGCTAACATCACTCATTTTGAGTTACATTTTTGCCCCTTAATGCTATGCTATGAAAATTTTATTCAAACCACTCATCGACCTTCTGGGCATTTCTGTTCGCCTGGTGTTTTTCGGAAATTTTAGCTAAAAAATCTGGGCCCCGGCCGCCGGCTAGAGCGCCCCTTTTGGGTATGCAATGAAATTGTTCGGCAGCTAAAAATATTCTTTGTCGACCTTCTGGGCATTTCTGTTCGCCTGGTATTTTCGCAGATTTTAAGAAAAATCTCGGCTGCCACCAAATGCCCCTTTTGGGTATGCAACATTTTTTTTTAATTTTTAAATGAAAAAACAGGAATATCGTTTAAATAATTGATTTATTTACAAAATTGTTGATTTTTTTTGCTAATTTTCTTAATTACTTTTCTTAAAATTATACAAATAATAAATAAACTATAATTTGAGCTTATTTAAACTTAAAATAGGTATATCTGGCTTAATTATAGTCGAATCCTGGAAATATTGGCTTTATCAGTCGTGGAGGTCCTTAGAGCTCATTGTAGTCCTTGATTTGTCAGTCTGCAAGGATAAAAACACATTAAAATTGAAAAAAACGAAAAAAATATAAAGGCAAATTTTTTCAGAAAAAAGGACATAACTCGGCCATATCCTTGCAGATTTTCAAAGGACATGGTGCGTTAGGATCGTATCGACCCCCTGCATCGATCTGCATCAAAAAAATATGGGGTCATCTAAGAACCCCAGGACTTGTATTTTTACTTGTGAAATTTTCATCCCGAAGTGCACCGAAATGGCCCGAAAACACAAATCCATGAATATCTCCAAAACTACAAGGACGATCTTAATGAAATTTGGCCAGTTGGTAGTCCTGGTCAATACAATTTTTTTGACATATGACTCGACAGGATACGCCATATGGATATGGCAGAGTTATGGCCTATTTTCTCTTGCAAAAATCGTCCTTAAAACTTCGCCGTTTGAAGGACTATCGTCCTTTTTTTTGTATTTTCTTAAATGGGAGGTCGAGCACTATTTACAGTTCAAAGGACATCCCGATAGTCCTTCAAATGGCCAAGTTAGTCCTGATTTTTTCGATTTTTGCCAATTTTGCGACTTACCCCCTATGAAAAATTTTGGTGAAATTTTTTGTCGAATCTTGGAAATCCTTGAATGCCAATCGATAGTCCTGGTCTCCACGAGTTCAACAAGGTATATCCTTCCGATATCCTTAAGGATTTGGCCGAGTTATGGCTAATTGAAAAATGTCCTTTTTAGAAAATTGGCCATATCTCTGAAACGGCAAAGACGATTTTGATGTCCTTTGGACAGTTTGAGGTCCTTGTCCATACGATTCGTTTGACACAGGATTCGTCAGGATCTGCAAGGATACGGCCGAGTTGTGGCTTTGTTAATTTACGAAAGAATTGTACGCATATCTAGGCAGTCTAAAGGACTTTCGTCCTTTTCATTGTATATTCTGAATTGGGAGGATGAGGACTTACGGTTGGCCAAAGGACATCATGATCGGCAAGGATATGGCCGATCTACACGCTTTTATCTGTAGCGACAAAAGTCTCCTTCACTCAGCTCCTTGAAGAATTTTCGTCCTTTTTATCACATATTCTAAGTTGGCCGGGCAAGAACGTGTCCTTGGTCCTTATGATGTCCAATTTCAGGTCCTTTAAAATGAAAAAAAGCCATATCTCGGCAACCATAAGGACGCTTTGAATGTCCTTTGGGCAGATAACAGTCCCGGTCCGTACAGGACTCGTCGCTCGACTCTACCCGAGATATTCAGAAACCATCGAAAAATGTATAATTTTCGATGGCAATCGAAAGTCGGGATCAGAATTTAGTTTGTATTTGTTGCTTTTATTATAATTGTATTTCCATTAATTTATTTAAATATAGTTGGTATTTGCATTTGATTTACTTGTTTTAATCTTTTGTTGTGGTTTTTGTTGTTGTTGTTGTTCGCTTACAAACTAATTAATAAATTAATAGTTAGACTTAGAAATGAGAACTTAAGCGCGTAAAAATCCATCATGGGGGAGCATACAAAATAAAATTACAAAAAAAAAAATAAAATAAAACGCATGACAAAATATGTTCTTAAATCAAGATCCAAAACAAGAACAAAGAAAAAAAAAATACTTTCTTCAAGAGACATTCAATTTAGTGTGACGGACGCTGAGCCCGATCTGACCGATCTGATGCATATATAGATATATATATATAGACGTGCAAGTTTTGTGCCTCAGTTGGGATTATATAATCACACACACACACACGCACACATATATATATATATAGATATCGGATATTTAATTGTTTTGAATATGGAGCTGTGGCTGTGGCCGACCTTAGACAATTCGAGTCTCCGCAGGTGGCCAGTGTTGCAAGTTGCGTGTGCGGCAAGTGTTGCAAGTCGCCGGAACAGACAAAACTTGTGGCGTTTCTTCTCTTGAATTCTTCAGTTTCAGCTAAATGAATGCTCTCTCTTTCTCTCTCTCTCTCTCTCTCTCTCTTTTCTGTTTGTTGTTGTTGTGGCGGCAGAGTGTGTGTGTGTGTGTGTGTGTGTAACAGAAATCTTACAACAGATTTGATTTGCGTTTATACAAAAATTCGAAATTAATATTAATTATTAAACTAAATATTTGCATAACAATTAAAATAGGACGACTCATTTTCCACTTAATATTTAATATACATTTTCCATGTGTTTTCTTTTGGGGTTTTTCTTTCCTCTTGCTACTGCCGCTGAGAGTAAGGTGTATTTCTTTTAGTAGGGGTATTCACTTTAAAAGTGTCTACACACGATTTGCTTGCATTACTTTCTCTCCCTCTCTCTCTCTCGCTCTCGCTCTCTCGCTGTCTCTGTCTCGCTTTCTCTTGATAGTTGCACACATCATATTTAAATATATTTACAATAATTTTGTTGTTGTTTTTCTCTTGATTTGAATTACTTTGAAAAGAATTTGAAAAATGTTCTAATATATAACTACAACGATTTTCTACGTGTTGTGTTTTTTTTTTGTTGTTATTTTTTTTGTTTATAATAAATTGGAAACATGCACATTTACGATTTTTTGTTTGTAAGTTAATAATTTGCTTTGATTTAGTTAAATGATTAAAAATTATCAAAATAGCAGCATAATATATATAGATATATATATAGATATATAGATCTATAATCCGTGTTTATCAATTTATATATGTTTAGTTTAAAGTGAATCAAATTTTGTTGATCTCTGCTGCTGCTGCTGCGGACTTTCTTTAAGTGTATTTTTGTTTGTTTGTTTGTTTAGCGCTTGCTTCGGATATTTTCTTGCTTGCTTTTTACAATTTACAATGCACAATGCAAATTATCACATATTTTGTTTTCTCTTTCTCTATCTCTATCTTTCGCTGCTTTCCTCTGCCCATGCACATTGCGCGGCTCAAATTCTACTTTTACAATATTTAAGTATTTTTTGAAGCCAACTTTTATTTTCTTTTGCTTTTGGTTTTGTTTTTGTTTTTATTTATATTTATGATTTTGTTTTGCACAACTTCTATCGAGCGTTAAATAACATGAAACAAAATTCAATGAACAACAAAAAGGAAAAAAGTAGCGTTTTAAAATTAAACAAAAACATGAATTTCCTTTCGCCTTCCTTTTTTTCTCACTGTGTATATTGAACCTGAATGTTAATTGGCGCAGCAGCGCACTGTTAAATAATAATAAAAACACTCTGTTAAAGCGTTCGCTAACAGCTGTTGGCCAGCCGCAGCCTACTGGCTGTTAACGCGCAGTCTATCCATCTAACTATGTATGTGTGCGATTGAGTGTGAGTGTGTATGTGTGAAGGTATGTGTGTTAAACAAATATCACAATCGAAAAATTAACAAAATGGCGGCTGCAGCAGTGCTACCAGACAGCAACAGCCGCAGCTAACAGCGCGCAACGTTAACAGCAGCAGAACTCACTTCCACTTTCTCTCCTCTTCTTTCGCTCTCCCACTGGTTGAGCTTTTTTGTAATACTTTTGTTGTTGTTGTTGCTGTTGTCTGCTTTGTTAATGTTGCTGCGCTGCTGCTGTTGCTGGGGCATTGTTACTGGAAGGGGGAACGGGGGGCTGCTAACGCTTTACTCTGTCGCGGCGACAAAGTTTTAGTTGACATTTTCAATTATTTCGACATTCCAGTGCCCCTGGACAATGGGCCACATTAATAAAATTACGATTAAAACAAACTAACAAACAGCTTAGGACATTGGTCCGTTTGTGCTGATGGCCGCTGCCGCGATGCCGCTGCTTCCGTTCGCCGCTGGCTGCGCTGCATCGACAATTGAGGCTGTAGCAATTGCTGCGTCAACGCCGCTGCCGCTGCTGCTGCTGCCGTTCTCTGCGCCGACGCCGACGCCGCCGCCATTGGCGACGATAACTGTTGCTGCTGTTGGCGCTGCCGACGCCGCTGGGCTGGTTGCCGCTGCCGACGCCGGCGTCGCTGCCACTGTTACGGCTGCTGCTGTTGCTGTCGGCGCCGCTTGTATAGCTGGCGTTGCGGGCGGCGCTGCCACCGCAGCTGGCTGCTGATTGCCAGCGATTTGCAGCTGCATTTGCAACTGTTGCAGCGTCTCCGGCGACATGTTCGATTTGAGTATGTTGTTCTCCAGCTCCAGATTGGAGATCTTATCCATCAGCTCGGAGATGCGCTCTTTTAATACTTCCACCTCCTCGCGCACCGCTATCATGAGATGCGATTTGACCAGATCCTGTAAGGGCAGAGCAAGAAAATGTAATTAGTAACAGGCTAAAGTTAAAGTTAAAGTTATGGTTTTACAATTCGTAATTTGTGTTAACAGCTGAAAAACGCTGATTGTCTATGTTAAGTAACAGCGCCGTGTATTTTAACAGCGCGCACTGCTTTACTGCCGCTACTTACATTGCCTGTTAATTAACAGCACCTGTTATCGATATCGCTTTTCATTTCTAACGAATGGAAACTTTCGTGTGCTCGGAAAAACAATGTAAACGTGTGCATTTAAGGCGCGACCCATTCACGACAAATCAATTTCAATGTTTGCTCAATGCGTTGCGTGTTGCAGCGCAAAGTACTAAATAATTGCCAAGAAATGTGCATTTTGCGGCCAAATGTCAATGTCAAAACATGCCACATGCTCGTGAAAATTTAATATGCCCATTAACAGAAGGGGGTGAGGAGGGGCGCGCGGGGGCGGTGCCAAAGCTAAATACACGACACAGTTTGTCTCTGCCTGTTGCCCTCTCACTCGCACCCGCGTACGTGTGTGTGTGCGTGTGTGTGTGTCTGTCTGTGTGTGTGTGTGTCTGTCTGTGTGTGTGTGTGGCACGTGCAACATGGAGCGGCGGCAGGTGAGTATCGCTGACGACAGTTCCGTTCGCCTACGTTTTCTTTTTCGATTTTCATTTTCTCTGCTAAAAATAAAAACGCCTTCGTCAGGCATTTTCACATCGGATGTGGCCCGATTTTCAGCTGCAACAAAATGTTGACCAAAAGCAGCAGCAGATCGAACAAAAGAATACATATATATATATATAAAAACAACAATTCAGTCAACAACAACAAATTCGCGCAGCCACGCTGGCAGAAACGCGCGCGTTTCACGCGCGTTTCGCTTAGTCATAAAAATTGTCTCATATGATTTATGGCAGGGTGCGGACTGAGCGGAAAGGGGAGAGGGGCGAAGGGCGAGGGTTGGGTTGTCGTCTCGCATTTTCTGCGGCGAGTTTTTCTTTTGATTTGTGTTTCGGGAAAATTGAATATACCGTATTTATGTTTGCACGTTTTTTGAGCGATTTTGGCCAAATAAAAAGAAATAAATATAAATTGAAAAAAAAATTATATCAACATGAAATGAAAATCAAATTAGGCATGTGAATCCCGCAACTGCGCATAAAAAACAGGTGATAAATTTATAATAAAAAAGAAATGCTATAAGAAAAAAAACTGGTTAAAACTGGCGCCAGCGACGGCTCGAAAAAAAAAAAACAAAAAACAAACAAACAAGTGTAGAAATACGAGCAGAAAAAATAATTAAAAAATGCGCACACATACATATGTGCATATGTATGCCAAAGGTGGGCATATCATTTATTACTCATTAATTAATTCAATAATTTATGAACATTTCAGCGCAGACACAAAGCTAACAAAAGAATTCAAAGGCTAGAAACTGCCAAAAATGAAGGAAATGCATTTCTCTCACATATACACATACACACACACACGCACGCACGCACGCACACATACAGACAAGGCAGACAGTTGAGTCGGAATTCGAGTCGGGTCGAGGTTCGCATTTGGGTTCACGCGTCTCGCTCTCTGAGGTAGACACAAAACGTTGCTTCTTCTTGTTTTTTTTTTTTGTCTTTCGTTTATTTTTATTTAACGTTTCTTTCAGTTTTTTTTTTTGGCTGCACTACGCTTAACGAAACTCACACACACACACACACACACGCATACAAATATGGCGACCGCTTCACTTGTTCCATGTGCTCTTTGTTTTTATCTCTTTTACTTCTTATGAATAATCTATGCATGTACACACAAAAATTAACTGTTTTCAGTTAGAGCATATACACACACACACACACACATACATAGATTTATGCATTTGTTTTTTTCGACTTGTTTGCCTTGACGACAGCCTCACGAAAAAAAGAAAAAAAATCAATACAAATTGCAAGGTGAAATTTTGTTCTCAATGCAACGGACTATACTATATATATATATATACTTTTATGTTGTATAGTTTTGGTAACTCTTACGGTACATACTTTGGCATTTGGCACCATAACATAGCAGGGGCTATCGTAGCCCTTCTGCCAGATCTCGTATAGCCAATTCTCGGGCTGACGCAGCGACATGGTGCCCATCATGATTATGTTGTTGTTTTTGCACTAGCGGAGTATTTGTTAATTAAGTTCTATTTGCCTTTCGCACTTGCGAGTATTTTTTTTTTAGTTTCTTTTTGTTTTGCTTGATGCGCTTCACATACACTTATATAATACAAATTTGTTGCAATTATCTATCACAGTTATATTGTGTTGTGCACTCTGCTTCGTTTGCTTTTGCTTTTGCTTTTATGCTTTGTGCTTGAGTTTTTGTGTGTGCCGTATTTTTTTTTGGTATGATCTTCTTTTGCGTTGCGTTTACGACGAAAGTTCAGCAATAACTGAATTCGCTGCGTAGCTTTTTGGTAATTTGTGAGACCGGCCGCAGAGCTTTTGCATTTGCATTCAAAGTCGACACTGAAAGCTCTTTTTTCTGCTTCTTCTTCTTTTATCTCAATTGATACTTTGATATTTTGTGTGTTGGCTGAATTAATGTAATTCACTTAAAAAAGTCTCTTGTTGGCTGCGCTTGCACAAACTATACTTAAAAATTATATCTATATATATATATGTTGTATTTTATAATTTCTTGATTTTATTTTTTCTTGTATTTCTTGCGTTTAGCGTGTGGCGTGTTGCGAGTTAAACTGGCGACTGAACGTCTGCTTGCAATTAGCGTCGCATTTTATATAAAATGGCAGCTAGCGAGAGAGCCAGCGCCAGAGAGAGAGAGAGCGAGCGCGCGAGCGCGTGAGAGAGCGCGAGCGCGCAGAGAGCCTGTGCATGTGATGAGAGCGTGTCGCAAGAAAGAGAGAGAGGGAGAGAGAGGGAGAGAGAGGGCGCGCTGTGTATCTGGCAAATACATTTATTTGGGAGTGCGCGCCATGTTGCGACAGCTACAGCTACACAGCTGTGTGTGCGTGCATGTGCGTGCGTGCGTGTGCGTGTGTGTGTGTGTGTATGTATCTCATTGACGGGTGTGTATATCTCTATCTATCAGCATTTTATAGCAAAGCTGCGGCTGCTGTTCTCTCTGTTTGTTTTGACGCGATTTGCCTCGATAATTTACACGCTATTTTTTTCTTTTTTCATTATATTTTTGACAAGCAAAAAAAAAACAAAAATGAAAAAAAAAGCAACCCGAAAATGTTAACAAAATTTGGAAACCAGCCGGCATCTTATGTCTATATAGGTGTTTAGATACATATACTATAAAAAGTATCTCAAACAACAACATTTTGCCACTCGTTTGCGGCATGACAAATTTGCTGCCTATTTTTTTTTGTTTTTTGTTTTTTGCTGTTCCTTTTGGCACTTTTGCGCTGCGACGCAAAAACTTTACGACACATTTTGTTTTTGTGTGCTTTTTATCATAAAAAGAGGAAGACGAAGAGGAAGAAGAGTAGGAATGCTCAGAGTTCTTTTAGATACTTTTGAGCAAACATGCGATGGCTTTTCAGAAACGAAAAAAAAAACGTGGTGGTGGCTTTTCACCTTTTTGCGCATTGCGTTTTATGCTGAGGAGAGGTTCTGCAGACTTTTGTTTTGACTGGGCAATCGGAATGCCATGTTGTAAATACATATATACACATATATGTGTGTGTGCATGTGTGTATGTATGTAAGCGTGGCAATTTGTTTCCGCTTTGCTGCGAAATGGTTGAGGAAAAGAAAACAACAGCGGCGGCAAATCGAGCCCACAGCATTTTCAAGGGCTTGCGAATTTGCAAAACAAATTGTCAACAACAACAACAACAACAACAAAAGAACAACAGAACAACAACAAGAAAACAACTGTGTTCAAAATTCAACACACAGCGCGAGAACATGAAACGTATCGATTACATGCGCATGTCGCAGAAGAGAAGCCCCACCCTCCGCCCACAACCCTCCCCCCGCACCGCACAAGCCAGGCAAACACAACAAAACAAAGCTCAACAAAACACACACACAGATACAGACACAAATACAGATACAGATACAGATACGAATACAGATACAGATACAGTTACAGATACAGATACACATGGCAGATGCATATCTGATTTTCCCATAGAGCACAACAAAATGCCGGCAACAAATTGTGAATTGTAAAAAAACATCCGCGTTAAGGCGGCAAAAAATATTATTTAAAAAAATAAACAAAAAACGAAAACAATAATAAAACATAAATGCAAAGCAAACAAATGTGTAATATAGCAAAAAAAGGTGGAAAAGGAAAGCAATTAAACAAACAACAATTAAATGCACATTTGTATAAACAAATTGCAATACACAAGTTGTGAAGAGCGGAGTGGGGAAGGGGGGGGGGGGGGGGGGCAGAAACCGAAGCTGTTTAATGAGTATCCATAAAACTGTTTTCGAAATGGCAAATAATTAAAATACCGCGTTTGAATTTAATAAAAAAAAGTTTTTAGAACAAAATGTAATAAATAAAGTCTTTATAAAGCAAATCCAACCTGTTAACCTGTTAACATTAATGTTAACACGCCACTGTTAACAATGTAAATTGATAACATGACATGTTAACATCTTAACATAAAAATGTAACTAAACGATGTAAAGTTGTATTTTGTGAACGGTAAATCACAGAAACCTTAACTGTGAACTGTGAATGAAAAAGTTAAATATCGAAATAATGCACAAATAATAAATATGAACAATTTTTGTTACCAAGCTGAATCTTGCTTTGTGCCCATCACATATGCCTCATATTGGCAAGCTGCCAATATTCAAGTACGCATATATTCACCATTCACTATTCATTATTCATTATTCATTGTTCAAACGATGCGCCATAGCCAACACAAAAAAAAACAAAAAACACATTTGACAATCGTCGCCGGGTCTGGCAATAAAAATGCCACTTGTTGGGGGCGGGTGTCAAGGGGTTGAGGCAG